GGTTGAGCACCCGCTTGGGAAGCTCGCCTCGGCATCCTTGCGAGCCACCGCTTGGAGCAAACATACGTCTGTATGCTTGCAACACTTTCAGGCAGGGCTTCTTGGCGACGATTTCGTTGGCCTGGCGCTGGACAAGCTCGTCGGCTGTCGGCCCGTCGAGGCGGACCTTCATTAATGACCTGGCACTTCGACAGAGACTGAGAGCACAAGATTTGCAAATCTCTAGTCCCATGCAGGAGGACAGGATGGACTTGACATGAGCCGAGTTGCCTCAAGTGCTGCCGACTCGTTTTGCCTTTTCTGCCTTCGCTGAAAAGCTGAAGCCAGCTGAAATTCTGCTCAATCTCTCCGGTGCTCGGGAAGCAACTCAAGGCGAGTGCAGCCTCAGGAAGTAACAGCAAAACAGATCATCCCACTGCTCAGGGACACAGAAACCTTGGGCTAGGCAAGAGGCTGCCTCAGACAACGCCGGGAGTTTGTCAGACCAATGCCGCATGGTCCTGGACCAGATCTCATTTAAATCCTCGCCCCCGGTCCTCAGTCATGCACGATTCTTGGAGTGGAGGACCTGTTGTTAAGAAAAAACTTGTCGCCGCGAGGCTGTGACTTCACCAGCATGGCTGTAGGACGTGCCAAAAGGAACTCTTTGGCCAGCTGTGTCACCTGAGTGGTTGAACATCACAGCCTCGGTCCTGTGAAGCGGTGTGGGCTCCAGACCTCCACTTCTGCAGCCGCTGCTAGCGGTTTGAAGATGTCAGGCCTTGGCTGTGAGGATGTTTGTAGCGGTGATTCTAGGAGCAGAAACGGACAGAAGATTTTGGATCCTGTGGCTCTGGCAAAGCTTCGTCGCTGCACATGGCATGGTTGACATCAAAGGGAGCAAGGGATGACTGGACGCCAACCTCCACATCGGCTTTCAGGCCCTGAAGAAAAAGCTGAGCGATGTTGCGAATGGCACCGAGCTCCTTGGCTACGAAGGTTCGTAGCTTGTTCCTGCTGCTGCCGCTGTGCCAGAACACCAACTTTTGCTTGACAACCAGGCACTTGTTCTGCTCAAGCTGTAGGGTCGCCTGCAGCCTTTGCACGTAGCCATGTGCATAGGAGTCATCCAGAACCAGCGGCTGCTGCATCTCTCCTGCCGGACTCCGAAAGTCGAAGAGTCTATTGATCAGGCGCTCGAGCTGCTGAAGATTGTGTGCTGTCGAGGCCAGTCGCAGATGTGAGCCGTCCAGTGAGTGGGTGAATTTCCTTGGATCTCTTGCTGCCCAGCTTCTCTCAAAACTTGCAAACTAGAATGATTCCTGCAGCCGCGGTTCGCAGCGGCACAGGCAAGCTCCGCTATCAAGCCCAGTTGGAGGAGCCTCTCCGGCTGAAAACATTTTTGTAGAAGCTCTGTGGCCCAACCTCAGACATCAGGGACAAAGACATCGGCAAGCCCAGCCCTCGGCATCCACAAGGACTGATGCACGGAGCACACTCTGGATCAGTTGAGTGGCCTGACAGTTGATCATCCACCGCTGCGAGATGGCTCAGGACATTGCAGACTGCTTCGATGTTCTCAGACACGTTGACGCAAGCGTCGCACACCGTGTTAAAACGTTGGGGCGCAAACCCGAAATGGGACACTCGCCTCAGGCTTTCGTCAAGAACCTCAAGCTGTTTCTCTGCTGTCAGCCGCTGGAGCTTCTGCGAGTTTCGCACGGCTCGGCAGAATCCGCCAGGATTCTTGCCACTGCCATCGGAGAATCCTAGCACCCAACTCTTGACAAGAACCTGAACATCCGGGTCAGTCGCTAGGGCCTTCTCAAGCGCCCTTTGCCCGCTGTGGACGGAGCATCTCATGATCGCTTTCAGGCCCGGAAGGGTTCCCTGGACCTCAGGTGCAGCAGCGGTCCCTCGAACCCCTCATGCTGTTCTTGAGATCCGCTGAAACTGCAAGCGAGGCACTTTACTCAGCCGGGCCGCCAGAGGCTCGCTAAATTCCCCGTCGGCCATAAAGATGCGGATCTTCTCTTTGAAAGCATTCCGGAGGGCCTCCTCCGGCAAGAAGCTGGCCAGGGTGTCAGGCAGCGATCTGGATTTGTCCAGTGCAGCCTCGGCTTGGCGAATGTTCTGGAACCCGATCTGCCCTCGCCCACGTGCTGCCCAGCCTTCTCAGCCACAGCCAGGTCTAGCATGCGGCAGTGAACGGACCAGTCAGGCATCACGTACCGCACTTTCAAAAGCTCGAAACCGCCTCTTGCATCCTGCAACACACGACGCACTGAAAGCCGGCATGGAAGTTCATTGTGAGCCACAGCACATACTACTGTTGGCACTCGGCTCCTCAGCCAAGGCCACTGCCCGAATTTTTTGCTGTACGCGACGGCGGTCCACATCGAACGCCGCTTCAGCCGCTGCATCGA